TGTATTTAAAATCAAAAGATAAGGTTGAGTGTTTAGTGCTCTCTTCCTGTTCACACAAGAGGAAGAAGAGATCAAAAAGGTGAAAACAAAATGAAAATATTGCTCAAGAAAAACTGTAGGCTTTAACATTTGATATGATTCACCCATCATGAAGAGGCCAGATCTCACAATGTCTGTGTGGTCAGAGTGAAGGCCGCTCTGTGATGAAGAGCTGTTGATCTTCCCCTCTGTCGCTCCTGAGGTGAGGTGATATCAGTAACCCTGTACTGATCTCTGCTGAGGGAGAGAACCTGCTTATCGGCTGAGCAGGTATACAGTAATTATTCACATAGAGAGTCACTACAGGAGCAATGGAAAGTCTAAAGAGTTCGGGCCTGACGTTAGTGTGTGAGTAGTAATTCATAATTATAAACAATAATTAATCATTAAAATCAATAATTTTAAAGAATGTATCAATCGTTATGAATAAAATCTTAATGAAGATCAAAATGTTCAAGAATAAAGACTTTTAAGAGTGTATTAATGGATCACAAGAGCTGACAACAATAATTACTCTATCTAAATAAAAATATTGTATTTCTAAATTGAAATAAAAAATAATTTTGCCTTTCCAATCTCTTTAAAATGACTATTTATTTTAGATCTGCTGTTCTGCTGTCTCCCAGTCATCTCTTTGTCAATGAGACGAGTGAATCCAGGAGAGAATGTGACCCTTCAGTGTGACCTCACTGATCCTCGTATTCACTGGTACAGACAGAGCCCAGGACAGCTGCCCCTGGGCATCGTGTACATCCTGTCATCCACATATACAGACGCATGGTACTTCAATGGCTTCGGACATCATTACTCTCTGGCAGCTCATAACAGGCTGTTCATCCACAATGTTACAGCAGAAGATTCTGGGATATACTACTGCGCCAGGAAGGAGGGCGACACTCTTACTTTCCACAGTGGAATAGAGCTGAATGTCGCAGGTAGGTTACTGTTTCTGTCTCCTGTTGTTGAAGACATGACTGCAGGCGCACTGCTTCTGTATCAAGATTAGTCACTAATTGAAAGGGGGAAATATTTAGCTGAATTTATTATGCCTTAATTCAAGTGAAAACGAAGATATTCTGTTGAATTTATTAATTTACTGTAAAGATTTATTTATGGTGTTGTCCTCTTTACAAGTACTGTTATTGTTTGCAATACTGCATTAATCAATTAGAGCCTCTGTACGGAGTACAGGAAATCAGCAGGAAAAAAAAGTTGTATCGAGGGAACGATTTACAATTCGTGCGAACGAAATAACTAAATCGTTCCCTCGTTTCCTTTAATTTGTGCGCACGAAATAACTTTTTCTCTTTCCTTTTTCTTTGTCACGGTAATCACACGCACATACAGTATAGAAAGTTTCTAAAATGCCGACATTATCCCCGGCTCGTAACAACAATGTTATCATTTACACTAGTTAACACGTTACTGTTTCTTTATATTAGTACAATAATGCCTAACTATCAGACAGTGCTGTAGATTAGGATAATGGATAGAGATGAACTGATTAAGGGGATGAGTTATTAGGGCATTGTAGCTACAGTACTGTACTCTTGAACTACTAGATACGACTGCACCTCTCTTTTCACTGCTAGTGCCACACCTGCCCTTGTGAAGGAAAGAGAAAACGTTATTCCGTGCGCACGAATTAAAGAAAACGAGGGAACGAATTGTAAATCGTTCCCTCGATATAACTTTTTTTTTCCTACCGATGGCCCCTCCCGGGCTCCTTACCCCTGCATTAATTTCCTTTAGTTTAAAAATAAGATGTTTTCATGATCTGAACACATTTCCACACATGAATCTCCTGCTCAATTGCAATGTAAGTCCACCTTTAATTTTATGCAGCAGTTAAGACACACAGACTGAACGATAATTGACTCTTCTGTTCCCTAACAAATGCTACTTTCAAAGTGTTTTAAAATCATCTGAGGCTACAAGGAAACACTATAAGTAATAGTGGTAATGAATTAACACAAGCAACAGCAGAGGTTATCGTGTAAATCAGCAACGTCCCTTGTTCTTGAATTGTCTTTAATGACAAATGTTTGAAAACAGCTTCTCAAGTTTTCCAGTTACACAAAGTACAAGATAACCTTTATTTATATAACAGACAGAATCGGCTACAAGATTTGTATCCCTATAAGGTATTGTCTTTTGTTAAGACGTTTAATTCCTAATATTGCAAAACAGTGTTTCAAGCTGAAAATAGTTTTTAATTCTTATATGCAGGTGTTTATTCCAACAGAGATGAAGGTAAGAAATAAATCAAACACAAGATTGAACATCCTTACGTTGTAAAAAAATATAATGTATTTCGAAGTGTGCATGTCCTAGTTGAGTTGTTTGATTTCAATATAGCCCTGTAGGTCCTGTGTGATGGAATTCTTGTATTTCAAGTAAGAACTGAAAACAGGATTTCTTTAATCTGAAGTGAGCAAAGACATCTTTGGAATTTTATCCTCTGAAGAGAAAGTTACTGTATCTCATATGAATGAGACATTGATGGTGTAATTTCTACATTATTGATGCACTAATGCTTTAAGGAAATTATGAATATAGACCGAAGTGAATGACAGCGCATAGGGCTGTAGTATCAGCTCTGTTTATGTATTTCCATTGTTTCAATAATGCCTGAATTGAAAAGAGCAACACATCTTCCTCAATATCTAATTCTAATTCAGAAACAATAGAACGATAGCAAGAACAAAAAGATCACACACTCTCCAGTCAGTCCCCGTGTTTCCTTAACTTCATGTTGACCTGTATTTTCTGTTTACTTTATGAACTTGTCTTCATTGGAGCTTCAGTTCTGTGAAAATGGAACATGTTTTCTTCTTTCCTGAAGCAGGTAGAAACTGCAGTGATTTTTCACTTGTCAGACCTGAAATATTAGTAGGAAAGAGCTGCAAAGGTTCTTATACAAATATACACATTTATGTCCTTGATACACATTTAGAAAAGAGAAATGAAGTTAACAACTTTTCACAAAAGTGTGTTGAGAAAATAGTGACATACAAATTAAATAAACATTTTTTTTCAGTAAAGTATTGTAAATTTGTGGTTTAAGAAAATTTGTCATTCAATTGTGTTTATATAGATATCAAGATTCTTCTTTCTCATGCAGTATGTACTGTTTTTAATTAAAGATATGTTAAAACATCAAAGTAGATTGTTTTAGTTGTTTAGCTGAAATATAAGAACATAAAGTTCGATACATGAGCTGAAATGTGTACCAGTGAATTTGTATTCACTAGTACTAAGATTATAATAGAATATTTTTTTTGCCATTAAATCAGAATTGATAATTTACGAATATAAAAGACAGAGAAATAAGGTTTATAACTTCATCATCATCATTATCATCAGTGATTTGTGATAAAATATTTTTAGATCCCATTTTAAACAACTGGTTTAGTTTTTAGAACAAAACACATTTGTGATCTCTGTGTCTTTTATAGCTATTGTAACAACACCAGCATTCTAAACAAAATATAAAGATTTAGGTATTTATTAAAATCTTCCAGTGTCACTCCAGACTCCTGCATTCCCACTGTCCACTGTACTGGTCAGCACAGATCCTCTCCCGGTCTATCCTCTGGCAGTGCAGCTGTGGTCCAGCCCTGCTGTCAGTGTCCAGTCCTGTGGGCAGTGCTGGGAGTCCTCTCTGTGCTGCTGCTCTGCAGTGTGGCTGCTGCTGTGAGGGGGAGAGGTGGGTACAGTCCTGGGGTCACTC